TTAATATTCCTAATTGAGTTCTCAAATTGAAAATCAATCCTCTTATTTGTGGCATTCCTCAGAGCCGTTAACAAGATCATTTTATGCTCAACAAGAAAACAAGTAAAAATTTGGCAGAGTTTGTTTTTCCCTCCGTTTTGGGAAGTTTCTGTTTTTGTTTTTGGGGTTTTTTTTTTTTTTTGTTTTGGTTTTGCTATTGGTTTGACCTTTTTGACAATAAACGGCAACTAGCAACAAAATATTTGCAACTTTATCCTCAGCTCGTGATGCTGGTTTTGTTATTGTTTCTCGTTTTTATTGCAGTTTTGTGCCTTGCAGCGCAACATGAAAAAAATTTGAGAGAAACGAGCCGAGCTCAAAGCCTATTTGACATTTTTGCCAGCAATTTCCACAGAAAGAGCAGCAACAGCAGCAGTAACAACAACAACAACAACAACAAAAATTATTCCAATTAGCTGGCATTACAGGTTGATTACGACTTTGGCATTATTCTTCTAATTGTTGGAACTGAGTGGAGGGAATTACTAGCTGGGCTTGCAATGGGCGTCAACTAATCAGAGATCAGAGTTAGTTTACGGCTCACCTGAGTCTTAAACTGAGCAAACAAATTGCTGTGCTGCACGTAGGTGTTGCTTTCGATGGGATTCCATATGGTCTCAGTTGAGGCTCGCACTAAGCACACATCGCGGATCACACGAGTCGACCGATCTTTAGTCGATCTTTCGCAAAGATCAAATGTCAGCTGCTAGTCTGACTCTCAGTCTGACTGCCTGTTTGACTGACTGATCGAGTGTGAAAACAAAGTCAAGAGCACACGCGCCAAAATTTCAAATTTGCAATTTGAGATCGAAGATCGGAGATGCAATCACGTTCGATCGCTGATCGGTCCATCCACAAGCCTAAACTGGCATAAATTATATATTTATTACTGCACGGCACTTAACACTTAATGCCTATCTCGGTTAATGCACAATTGCAAATTGCGAATTGCACCTCAAGAGACGCACGTCTTCGTCTTCGCCTTTTATCTCCACTCTGTATCTCTGTGTCGTTTGATGGCGTCGTCGTCGTTTGAAGTTGGCTTTGCCGCTGTATCGACCGCACCGCACAATGTCTCGCACAGAACTGATGGCTGCGAATGCATTCGACTTGGCTTAAAATTCACATTAGGCCGCTGGCAAAGTCCGCCCGCTAGACGCCGCACAAAAGAAGCGCCAAGCGATCGTCATCAACGCCGACACAGTGCACAGTGGCGCAAACCAGTTCAAAATGCCTGACACATTGTAGTTCAAGTTTATTATGGAATTTACAAATTTCATTGCGTTTCTTTTTGCTGAACTATAAACAAAAATTATTATAAAAATATTTTTGAGCAGGAAAAACAGTT